TTGGTTTCCCCAAAATATTTACATTTCATGTCAGAGCTAAGCAAACTTGGTACTAATCACAAATCTCTCAACATCACAGGCTGATGAACACACATGTATCTATGTATACAGATACATGTGTGTGCATTTCAAATAAAACTAATGGTCCTACTAGACTGTTTTTAATACATTAAATTTTTAATTGATTACTTTTATTTTGCTTAAAGAAGTAATTTGCAAAATAAAAACTTGAAAAAAAGTCAAATGACATACTAGTCTTCTACTGAAAGTTTTTTCTTTTACTAGAATTCAAGCTACAGCAGCTTTACCTACCGCCACCCCCATGCCCTGATGCAGAAAGACTAAGGGCAAGCTGAAAGCATGAACTAATCTGTGCTTTCACGGAAACACCTTGATTGAAGATAACACAGCCAGTTCTTAAGATGCGGTGTCAGGAACCTCCACAGTGACACCCATAATCGTATTAAAAATCTAGGGCTCTAAATGTGGTGCTAGCAAGAGTCCTAAAAGTGTAACAAATACTCAACATACAAATTTACAACACAGAGTAACCTGAGGATCTCGAAAATGCATTTTGTGACGTTTGAAATTTTGAGTATTTGGATAAGATGGTAAGTAGTACCTGTATTTTGTAAGAAATCTGAAAAGACTGTTCAAAGTAGTAGTTTGATTCTAACATGGAGACTGACTGGGGCACGTGATAGTCTGCCACGGCCACAGATGATTAAAGACAACTAGTTGCTGCTTTTTTTTTTTAAGTAATCTAAAGTCTCAGTAAGGAAAATGATCTCCTAATACCTCATATTTGAAGTGCAAGGTTAAAATTAGAAAAGAGTGCTTGAAACTGCTCATCATTTAGTCCTTAAAATCCTGCACTGAAGTTACTGGAGCCTGAAAATTGATTCTGACAGGTGCATCTTCTCATTGACTTTCTCAACACAGTGGGGGCGATGGACACATGCCAGGCAGCTCTGTGACTAACAGACTCGGCCATAACCGCGCCGTCTGTCCCACGAAATGATGCCTGGCCGTTTGACACCGAAGGCCGCTGACAGTGCACAGCCCCAATAGCGTGTCAAGTCAATGCTAACGCCCGCCAACACCTTCCCACCTGCCCCGAGGCTCTGACACGGCCTCGCAGAGCTCTGACACTGCCTTCCTCTGCGTGCACACACTTCTCAATCTTCCACTTGGGCCCAAGTGCACCTGGCCAGAGCCCCCAAGACAGAGAGTGGAAGTGCCCCGTCCCCTTTCCGGTGCTCACTGCTACCGAGGTGTGCTGCTAAAGACGTTCCCGGGCGATCTTTCCACAGCGCCTCAGCTCCCGCTGCCCTGGTCTCAGCAGCCTCTCAGCCCCTTTCAGGCAGTTCGGGGAGAGTGAGCACGCTGTAAACCTGTGCTTTCCCTCCACAGAATGACTGCACGGAGACGCCGAGCCCGAGCCGGAAGATGGTGACCCGGGAACAGCGCTGACTGCAGAGGAAGCCGGCCCGCCGCCTCCTCCCGCGTGTCCACCATGCTCCAGTGGCGGCGGCGGCACTGCTGCTGGGCCAAGCGCTCCCTGTTCCGGGCCCCCCTCGTCGGGGCGCTCTCCCTGGCCTTCCTCTTTGCCATGTTCTTGTTCTTCCACCACCACGACTGGCTGCCAGGCAGAGCTGGGTTAAAAGAGAACCCTGTGATCTACACTTTCCGAGGATTCCGTTCTACGAAAAGCGAGACCAACCACAGCTCTCTGCGGAACATCTGGAAAGAAACGGTCCCGCAAACGCTGAGGCCTCAAGCTGCCACCAACCCCAACGACACAGACCTGTCGCCGCAAGGAGTGACGGGGCTGGAGAACACGCTCAGTGCCAACGGGAGCCTTTACAGCGACAAGGACACCGGACACCCACATGCTCACCACTTCAAGTATCTCATCAACGAGCCTGCCAAGTGCCAGGAGAAGAGCCCGTTCCTAGTCCTGCTAATCGCTGCGGAGCCGGAGCAAACAGAGGCCAGGAGAGCGATTCGGCAAACGTGGGGCAACGAGAGTCTAGCCCCCGGCATCCACATCACACGGATTTTTCTGTTGGGCGTAGCAAGTACTCATTTAAATGGCTACTTTCAACGCGCAATACTGGAAGAGAGCAGACAACATCACGACATAATCCAACAGGACTATTTAGATACATACTACAACCTGACCATTAAAACGCTAATGGGCATGAACTGGGTTGCCACGTACTGCCCACACGCTTCGTATGTGATGAAAACGGACAGTGACATGTTTGTCAACACTGAATACTTAATACACAAGCTACTGAAGCCAGACCTGCCGCCCAGACATAACTATTTCACTGGCTACCTAATGAGAGGCTACGCGCCCAATCGAAACAAAGACAGCAAGTGGTACATGCCGCCGGACCTCTACCCGAGCGAGCGCTACCCCGTCTTCTGCTCGGGGACGGGCTACGTGTTCTCGGGAGACCTGGCCGAGAAGGTATTTAAAGTCTCTCTCAGCATCCGCCGTTTGCACTTGGAGGATGTGTATGTCGGGATCTGTCTTGCCAAGCTGAGGATTGATCCTGTGCCCCCGCCCAATGAGTTTGTGTTCAACCACTGGCGAGTTTCTTATTCCAGCTGTAAATACAGCCACCTAATTACCTCTCATCAGTTCCAGCCCAGTGAGCTGATAAAATACTGGAACCATTTACAACAAAATAAGCACAACGCGTGTGCCAACGCGGCCAAGGAAAAGGCAGGCAGGTATCGCCACCGTAAACTACACTAGAAAACACGAGACTTTTCTGTTCAAACGTGCAATCTGTAAAATAGTGCTAAAAGCATGTATAGTTAAAACGGATGAGACCATAGGACAAGTTTTAGTTAAAACTCATCACATACAAGAATTCCAAAATATTTTTTTAATTTATGAAGATGGTAATTCTTAAAAGTACATTATATAACAAAAAAGGTCTCCCGAGGGGATCTATAAAGAACTGTTTAAGGGGATTCTGTGTATTAACATGCAATAACAAGCATGCATATGTCAATGACTCAAGTCTCATGTTAGGGGCCAGTAAGATGTATTTGCCTATATTTTCCTCATGAATTTTAATTTAAGAAATGGAGACAGTCCAAAGACCCTTCGTTTTAGATTCAGCATATAATTAAATGTAAATAAAACATCACTGTTAATTTTATGAAGACTTTGTAATTGTGCAAACGACAAATTTTGTGACCTGACTACTCTAGGGATCTAAAAACTGTATTCCATGCAATAAGATTCAGTTGAGTTATTCCAGAAACACATTTATAAAGTTCAGGTGATTCATCAATGCAGTTCTCATCTAAGTACTTATTTAAAAAAAAACAACAATGGAGATACTCATTTTCTTTTACTAAGACTCACATATATCGGGGAAAATCTTTTGACATGACGTGATAAAATGTGAAAAATCAATGTGTCTCAGGCTCAAGTTTCTATAAAAAGTAAAGGTTTCAAAGTCGACAGATGTGTTCTCTGGTTGGTGTGAGGGCCACGCTGGTACCTGAGCAAGCCACTCCACCAGCCGGCGACTGCGCTCTGCAGGAGTGCTTGCACTTCGCGCAGGCACATCTATAAAAATAGATCATGTCCCTCTCGCTGAGGCAGAGGTGATTACTTACAGGCACAAAGAGAATGTGCTGCTGGAAGCAGATAAAAGTAAAGAGCGCACAGCCGCCCCATTCAATCCTTTTCTAAGATGCGTGCCTGCCAAGCGGCAGCATCTGGGACTTTACTTCCTGACAGCAGGTGCACACACGCCAACTCTTAATCACTCCATGGCACCTACTTCTCGCCGAGCGCCAAGTTTACAAACCTGCAGTTTTTAATCCGCTAGATGACAAACAGTGTGCATTACCTGTGAAAAGCCTTCTGGGGGAAGAGGGGAAAACTACCCATGTTTGATGAAGACTTGATTCTAGGATGAACAATGTATACGATGCACTTTTATCAGGTTTTTAATAAAAAGGGTGAAAACATCTTTACTGAGTGTTGTGGTGCAAATATTTTTCACAGTGATTTTGGTTGGTTCCATTATACATTTTAAAATCAGGAAATACTAAACCTACCAACTCTAAAATAGTGTTTCTATTTCACACAAGTAATTAAACTTATTAATCTTAATTTCGTCAGTTAGTTATCCTTATTCTAATAACGATCATTTTTTAAGTAATTGAACTTATTAATCTTAATTTCGTCAGGATGTTAGTTATCCTTATTCTAATAACGATCATTTTTACCTTCAATTCTGAAGATATTATATAGAAACAGAATTGTAACATTTGTAAATTTCAGAATCACAGAAACTGCACTTAGTATTTAAGATACTAAGTACTTAGTATTTAAGATGAATTCTGTTTATAAACAATTTACTGCTCATTTTTAATTCAGTACTCATTCCTATTCTACACAGAGTAATTCTGAATGCTGAGCTAGCTAATACCATGGGCTCTTAGCAAAATCTGTTTTTAATTTAATTTCATTTCCATGTTATACAAAGACTACCAGAGCACTAAGTAAAAGTCACACATAATGGGACAGTAATGCCAAAGTAGGTAAGTTTGATGAAAGGCAAAAGGAATCCTTCCATGAACATATGATTCCACTGATTTGGATATGGGCTCATCCACCTTGAGAGTAAATCTCTCCTTTCTACTCCTAAAGTAAAAAAAAGGT